CATAGCTCACGCTATAAGCTAACTGAACAACAAGAGCGTAGTCCAAAAAAACAACTCGCAATCATTGATAAAACGCAAACAATGACTCGATACAATAGAAATACATTCTGAAAAAGAACATAAACAAAGATCGGACGTCAAAATGGTTTCGAAACATGGAGCTCGCTTTTTCCTAGGCCGTCCATCCTCTTGGGCAGGCAGTCCCAGTGAGAGAATAGCCACTTCTAAAATGCCATTGTTTGCGGAATCCCAGCAGGGTCAACCCTACGTTGGGACAAGTACCAACGGGGGGTCGTAGTTTGTTGAGTTTGTGGGGGTCCTACTTTCACGGTGCGTATATACCCCCCTCCCACCCTAGAAAATGTGGCAGTGGAAATAGAAGTGAAATGAGGGAAAAGTAAAGGGAAATAAGGGAATATGGGAATTTTTACGACTTCATGGTTGTTATATACCCCGCTCGACGGTGTTTTTTGAGGGAAAAAGAAGTTGTGAAGAAGGGGTCGTATGAAATTTGTCATGAAGGAGGGGGGTCGTAAAAATTTTTTAAAAAGTCCCAACGATAGGGTTGACCCTGAATCCCAGTCTGATGAAGAGGTATGAATAGGCAACAACTGACACCTATGCACCCTAGAGACTGATTTTTGTTCACTTTTACTTTTTTTTACCCTTGGTATATCAAGATGGGTTATTATTCAGTCCTTTTGTTGCACAGTGCTCACGGTTCCTACTTTTTCAGTTGTTATAGTTGCTAAACCTAAACCTGTAGGGCATCTTAATTTGTTGAGTAGTTAGTTAGGAAATAGGAATTCAAATCGTTTGGTGATGATGCAAAAGTTCGTGCCAGATCCAAGCATGTTCATTAAAATAATTCTAAGGAACAACTGTACCAGTCGGAAGACAGACCATTGTTCTGTCTACATTTTTCCTCACATTGGGGCTCAGGCTAATGCGTTTGATGTTTCGTATCTAAATTATGTTTGTTTTCCCGCATGATCTATACCATTGCCTCCATAGTGATCCGGTGATCTCATCGGCTACTGTGCACTTGCACTGTAGCATAAGCCGCGTCGCAAAGCCATTTTTGTGAAAATAGCAGTACTTCCTCAAAATTTTATGGCAATTTTCATGGTCCATACCATCCGCGCCTTACGTACTATCCGAATTATCCGTAATGCTGCGTAATGTAGATGTGTTGTGGCACCACAATGAACCATGCCAAACCAATAACGAATAAAAAATATAATTAGGGGTAGAGTTCTGCGTTTGTATATTACCGTACATGACGCAGTCACTTGCACTCGCGATAGAAATGAACGCGTTCGCCTCTATCCGAAGGCGTGCTTCCGCGCTCGTTCGGCACTGGCATACAGCTTAGTCATATTTTCCTGCGGATTCCGCGAATTGCTTGACCATTTTGGTGCAAGAGCATAGCTGCATTCGTGCGGTGCGATTCGTTCATTACGGTAAAGGTGTGCGCTGACAGTGTATGGAGTTTAGAAGTGTATCGTGGTTTGCTCCAGATGGCGGGTCATCTTTGGCTTAGCAGATCACATCTATTATTTTTCGAGAAAGTGGCTATCGTCACTGATGGCCAATAGCCAACAGTGATCAAATATGATATCAATTAGTGCTTTTTGCTTTTGGATGAGAAACACTGTTCACGTGACACTGAGAATTCCTAATAGGCTCGGATTCCCGACGTTTCGAAGCATTTTTTTTTTGCAAAAGAGCATCTTCTCTCGCTTGAAGACTCAGTCTGGAGAATCCGGGTCATCATGTTGAAAAATACATAAGCCTCCAGCACTTGCAACGCACCTTTGAGCCTTAATGGGCGCAGCTTTTGCAATTAGTCGCTCAAGCCACGATTTCGCAACGGATCGTTTTGATTAGCTGATCCTGGCATATGATTTTGAGTTCTTGAGGTCGGTGAAAGCACGAGCTTTTGCAATAATCCATCACTTCATGTTATCGGCACATGACGCCTTACGTTTAAGCGACCCTGTACAATCTATCTGATGACAAGCGTTAGAATTCATGTTTTCTTATTCAACAACAGAAAATGAGAGTTTTTGAACTGTGCTTGTCGCAGGTCGGCTGTAGCTGAGTTTGCAGTCACGGCCGCAGTTGGCGGCTAGTAGCAGAATTACTGTCGAGCAGTGCAGAGCAGCAGTAGCAGTTCTGTGACCAGATGTGCAGCCGTGCGGTGCAGTATCAGTGCAGAACAGCGCCTCAGGGTGCAGAACCTGTCAATCAGCATCTGCGATGCTGAGTGAAGCTGCTATTGCCGATTCCATGGCCATGGTGGTCGGTAATCAAGCTATCTGAATAGTTGCAGCGTTTTCCGCGTTTTCTATCACATCGAGCAGCTCACTCATGGTGATAATTTGTCCATTCTTGGTTAGAAGAGATGGTGCAAGTCTTGCTGGGAATTTTCGCACGATTTTTTCGATGGCTTCTTTAGGAAAATTTGTTGAGTTCAGAACAATAAGCTCCTGTGGAAAGTGAACTTTGCGAAAAATTGAGAAGTTTTTGTTGGAAATTTATGTTTCACGGGAAATAAGTGCTGTTGAAGCATCTGAAATTGATCGTGCGGTGAAACTCAGACAAGGCTTATGAGCATCAGCATTTAATATCTTTTTTCAACTTTTGCATTAGGTCGCGTTCACGCTCTCCTCGTCGTCGCAGCCGCAGCCGTTCGCCACGTCGTTCAAGATCTCGTTCTCCTCGCAGCAAAAGCCGTAGTGCTTCGGTAAGTCAGTCTGTTTGATTTTGTAATGTTTATTGAGTTCTTACCAGCAAAGCGGCACAAGGGTCACTCAATGGTTTTGCGCCTGTAACCTCTTGGTTTTATATTGGCTTTTTTGGTCCGATTTTGTTGCTTTCACTAAAGCCTGCGTTCCTTTCTACAATGCGAGCCGTTTTCCAGCTACAGGATGAAAACTTCTGAAAATTCCAGCAAGTGATAACATTTGTCTTAGAAAGCGAAGTATTGAAAATTTGATGGAAGTCATAGATGGGAACAGTAGGGGATAGGTAGGGGATTAAATCGGTGTGTCTGCTCTAACTACGTTCAACCACTCCACCGACCATCGATCGGAAAAGGCGGGGCATACCGGAACCACCATTAATCCTCTCAAGACAGTGCGAATTCGCATATAGCGGGATCGTGGGGTACGGGACGTGTCAACCACCTTTCGAAATATTCTGCACTCAGCATTCGGCAAAATTGTCCTTGAAAGTAGTGTTTGTAATGAGTTTTTGGCGGTAGCAATATACCAAGTATATGTAGTCTTAAGCTCCCATATTATATATTTTCAGAGAGGGTATTGAGAACTTGGAAGATGAACTCTTATTTCGAAGGGACGGAGGGTAAAAAAATCTAGGAGGTTGTGTAGGGGAAATTTTGGTACAATTGAAACTACTCCCCGCGTCTGAAGCTTACAAGACCTAGAAGTCCTTATCAGTAATCAATCTTCGCTCTAATAATCCAAAACCACAATTAATATGCTGAAGAGCTAGATAGAC